TGTGGCTGCACTCCAGATATGCATCCTGTTTACACTCCCGCTGGGCCGTTTTGCCTTGCCTGCGGATGCCTTCCTGCCGGTGGTGGAGGGGGAAGAGGACACGGCCCCACGGGGCTTCCACTCTTTGCCAGGCATGAATGAAGCCAGAGGAAACTTAATAGTGTGACTATAGCCCCACTGTTTCCGCACGTGCTGTGTGGAATGCAAATTAGTGATCAGAACGGAGCAAGGGGTAATTCGGGAGAAAACTTGTATTTTTGCCAGGAGGAGTACTTACTCAAAATTCTTCCTGTTAGGATTGAACCCCTTTGGCTGCTTAGACTATAAAGTTCTGTTACCCACCGATGGTCACTTCACGCGGTCCTCAGGCTCGCTCGGCGGCGCCGACGCCTTCCTCGCGAAGCTGTGCTGCACGGAGGAGGTTTGCGCTCCCGCGTGGGCCCCCTGCCCACACTATGTCAGCAAGAAATGGGTTTCACTGATATATAACATCTTGACCCTGAACTCTGATTTTCTTATTTCAGATTGTTATTCTTGATAGATTTTAATCACTGTCACCAGAAAAACAGTCTGGATGCCGAGCGTACTCATAGAATTCAAGTCAGAAAGTGATTCCAGGGGCCGCAGTTGGTTAAGTGTCTGACTCTTGATTTTAGCTCAGTTCGGAGCCTTCTTGGGATTCTCTCTCTCTCTCTCTCTCTCTCTCTCTCTCTCTGTCTCTCTCTGCCCCTCCCCAGCCCCTCAAAAACAAAATTAAAAAGTCAGTCCAGATGATTTCAGACTCTGGGCTAGAATCAGGGCTCCTAGTTTGTTGTTTCTGCTTCCAAGGCCTCTGGGGTAGATCAGAGCAGCAGGGGAGGTGGTGGCGAGCAGCGCGACAGAGGGGGCTCAGAAGAGCCCCGGGCCTGCGAACGCCTGCCGTCGCGAGGAGACGACGGAAACGACCCTTGACCCAGCACCTCGGTGGGCTGCTTGGCTCCTTCCTGGGGCAGGGACGGCAGCAGGCGCCATGGGACAAGGTCGGGGCGGAGAGGGGTGGTTGGTGTGTCCGGTCCCCCGCCTCCATCTCGGCGCCCGGCCTCTGCAGCCGGCCTCGGGCTCCTCCACCAGTGAGCTCCGCGAGTGTGACCCCGTCGGGGCCTTTCCCCTCCTGGCCTCGGTTTCTCATTAGTAAAATCATCGTCAGAATACCAGCATCTCCATGTTAATTTCTGAACAGGAGAAGACACATAGAAAGTGTCCCAGAGCCACGGCTGACACGTGCTAGGCCAGCAGTAACCGGTCGGCACCATCGTTACGTTGCTGAAATGCTCATAATAATGATGGTGATTGTGCTTCTACTATTTATACAATTATATAAACACGATATTTATTATTATCAATAGGAAAATAAGTGTCTGTCTGAAGGCTTCTCCTTAAATTAACAAACACAAATACTACTGGGCTTCTTTTTCCAGAAAGCTAGGGATTAGACTATGGCCGATGCGGTGATCCAGTGAGGCCCGTAGGTTATCTTTCCATCCAGTCGTAGGTGCGGGCTCCTCTAGCAGGACGTGGACGCCTTGGAGGAGAAGCGTAAGGCAGGAACGAGTTCCTAAGCTGCAGGGTGACTTCCACTGAGCTGTTAATTTGAGGGAGAAATGTTTCCACGGTGGCTGCCTGGTGACGGGTGCTGGGCCGGTCCTTCCGTGTCTGCAGCACGGCCGGGCAGCCAGGGTCCGTCGCTCCTCGAGGGGACAGTCTCTCACGTCTCTTCCCACATCTCCGCAGAGGCTGTGGAGGCTGGGGTGTGGTGGCGGCTTGTGGGGCCAGGGCAGAAGACGCGGGGGGCGGGGGCGGCACGGGGGTCAGGCTCCTGGCGCAGACCGGCTTCTGGCTCGAGGGAAAGGTGCGCGATCCAGTGTGGGCGGTGCTGCGCTGGCGTGCGGTGTCGTCGTAGAAGGCGCACCTCCGGGCCCACCCTGGCCAGAGCCGAGTGTCATTACCACGGAGTGGGGACCCCACACCCCTGCTCCCTAGACTCTCCAGGCTGCTCAGGCTGGTGTCACGGCCCGCAGGAGCCTGGGAGCTGGGCTGCACGTCAGAGGCGCCCTCGTTTACGCGTGAGCACAGCGGGCCCCCCGGATGGTGCTGGCCCCGTGGGCGCGCACAGTCCCTGCCGCCGGACTGAGCTTTGCCCCTGTGTCGTAGTTCTGTTTCCTCCTCTGCTTTCCCCGCTTTTCCACGACCCCTTTGGAAAGCTGCCTTACGTGTTTTGTACTTTGAAAATTCCTGTGTTGTTTTGTTTTGTTTAGCTTATTTATTTTGAGATAGTGTGTGAGTGGGGGAGGGACGGGGTGGGGGAGAATCTCAAGCAGGCTTCGCACTGTTCGTGCAGGGCCTGACCAGGGGCTCCATCTCACGAACAGTGGTCATGACCTGAGCCAAAATCAAGAGTCAGACACTTAACCCACTGAGCCACCCGGGTGCCCAGCCGCCCTCTAAAACTTCCTGTTAATGGTGATTTCAGTGAATTCGTACTATTGAAAAGGCTCAGAAAGAGGCTTCTGCTCTGAGAGCAACGGTACTAACAGTCCGGGTCCTCGTTTTTAGCCTTTCCCACACTTGCTGTTACTTAACAAGTCATGATCCCTCTGACCGAGACTCAGAATTTCCAGGATAAGGGGTATTTCGGAATGGCGTGTAGGCCCTTTTGGGAGAGAGAGGGTGTTCCTTTGTAAATTAAGTTTTGAAGGGTATTTCTTCCAAGCAAAGGTAGTTTCATTTCTTCCTGATTTTAAAAACAGTAACTAGTACGTGGAAGCGCCAAGCTACACAGATGTGCGAATGCTTGTTAACATGCTGGTGGATGCCCGCCCGCCCGTGTATGTGTGTGAGCCGAAACCCGCATGTTCCACACGAAGGGCTCCTGCTTTCTCCCGCCCAACGGTGTCCGGGGCACGAGGGCCGAGGAAACGAGCTTAGCAGGTGTGCACGCACGCACGTGTGTCAGCACACCTAAGCCTTCCTCTCTTGGTGAACATTTAGATTGTCTTTAGATTTTGCTGAATAAACTTTATTGGACGTGTTTATGCACCGTTGCTCGCCTAAGCAGTGGACCTCTTGGCGTGCATTTCCAGAAGCGGGGTTATGGGATCTGGGGGCGCACCTGCTGAGAAGCTGGGCCAGACCCGCGACCCCCAGCAGCGTCTGAGGGTCCGTTGAGGAAGCCCGTCAGCTAGGGGAGGCGCCCCTCGCCCTGTGCAGCCTGTCACTTCTTGCAGCTGGGGGAGCGGAGTCTGTGCTCCTTCTGACCATTTGTCTGATTCAGCTCCTCGTAACGCTTCCCCAGGACGTGAATAACTGGACTGCTTCCACGTACTCAGGGGAAGCTGAAAGCCTCTCTGCGGCATGAATAAAGGCACCTAGTGAATCAGGCAGCTTTCCTCCAAGAGCCACAGGCGGAGGGCTTTCCCCGGGCGTGGGCTCCTGTGCAGACCTGGCGCGGGGCAGAGCGTGGCGTGTCGGGTTCCGTTGGAAGGCCTGGCTCTCCGGGACGGCAGGAGGGGGCTGGAGGCTGCCCAGCGGATGACTGCACAATGATGACAGCCGGGAAGGCAGCCTGGTGGAGGGCGTGCGGGGAGACGGGGTCATGTGGTCCTGACGGGGTTATGTGGTCCGGGGCACAGGCCTGGGGGTGGGGGGCGGATAACGGGCCCCAGGCAGACGGAGGAAGGTGGGGAAGATTCCCCTCCATCTGGTGAGAGGAAGGAGTGGGTTGGACGCACACGGGGCGATTAGTCGTTCGCAAAGGACTTTCTTGGATTTGGAGCCGAGTGACGCGGAAGGCGGTGGAGTCTCACGTCCTGGAGTGTGTACAAGCCCTTCCGATTTCTTCAAAACGGTGTTCTGCTTGGAAACTTCGCTTGGCAGATCTTTAGTCCGGGGCCGCTGTTGTGTGCCGTTCACAGTGATGTCTTTCCGATTTGCTGCATCTGGGCTGCGTGACCAGGTTAGGAAAGGGAGAGAATGTGAATATAAAAACGGTTTTAGTGGACAGACCTGGTGTTGGAAGAAGCCCAGCTCGATTTCAGGGAGGCTGTTTGAGGCCCCCAGCCTCGTGCTCTGTGACTGACATAGGAGGGAAGGTAGTGTCTCCCGCCAAGGACTCCTGAAGGCTGACCGGCGCTGCCTGTGCCCGAGGCCGAGCTGCTACCGCACCGGGCAGGCAGCAGGCTTGGACCTTCCCCCCCTTTCTGTTGGCGTGAGGACCGGCGAGTGACGTAAGCAGCAAACCCACAGACGCTCATGTGAAGAGAGGTGAGGGTGCGCTGCTCCTCAGGAACGTGGGAGGGAAGGGGGCAGCTTCAGCCCCGGCAACTCTCGCGCGTCCTGAGTTACGGCTTTGAAGCCCCAGAGTCTGACCAGACATCGGGACGTGACTGGTTTCAGCCACAGCAGATTCCTTCTCGACAGACGTTTCTTTTAGCGAGTAGTCACAGGTGATTTTCTTTTCTAAGTTTTTAGACGTTTCCCTGGGATTGTGGGCCAGCCACGTTCATTCATCCAGCCACGGCCTACCTCCTGCTGTGCGGTGATGGGCCCCGGCGAGTCTGGACTGTCCGTACCCCGGAGCCCTGGGGACACAGCAGGGTCAGCGCTGTTGGGGACAGAGGAGGGAAGCCCCTGTCTCAGTTCTCGGGAGGGTGCGAGGGAGGGCTGTGGGTTCACCCCTGCCCCAGAAGCAGGCTGGGCCGGGGTGCTCGCGGCCGCTGGCCCCTGGCCACTTGGTGTGGACCGCGTGGCATACGGCCAGGGCCGGACTGGGGCAGATGTGGCAGGGAAACCGTAGAGACCCAGGCAGGAACTGAGCTCGGAACCTCTTTGTGGGACAGCGTTCTTTGTTTACCACGGACTTCACAAGGAAAGGGCAGAGTGCTGGGCAACGCCCGCTGGTCCAGACTGCAGAATTTTCTAGGAACAGTTCTGATTTCTGTGGTGTTTCTCCTTCTTCTCCTCAGCCACCTGACAGCGGGCCGCCGCCACTGCCGACGTCCTCTCTTCCAGAAGGCTATTACGAGGAGGCCGTGCCCCTGAGCCCTGGGAAAGCCCCGGAGTACATCACGTCAAGTGAGTGTCAGGTCGGCCTGGCGCTCGCCGGCCTTGCCGTCTGCGGGACTGCGGAGAGCGTGGCCCGTTGTCTGGGAAGGAAGGGGCAGGGGGGCTTACGGAGCACTGGCGGTGCGGGGCTAGGTCACTCTTGTCCCCGAAGAGGTAAATACAGGAAGGCCTTTGAGGCCTGCAGTGCCTCGCTGGGGCCTTTGGTAACTGACGCGGCATCATCTTGTTCTGACTCGTGCACTGAAGCCCTGTTGCTGTGAGGCCCTGGGTCTCAATGGGATGTGTCCCCTTCGGTCACAGGCAGGGACTCTGGCGCGTTTGCGGTGTCCCTCGAGGCGTGTGGCTGGGAGAGCCCGGGCACGGAACCGGTGGGCATCCCAGTCACAGGCCTTTCTTCACATCTGTTTCTTCTTCCTTTCATACAGGTTTTTCTAGAAAATGCTTGCCTAGGTCGGAGCTGGCCTGGCGAAGCTCTGGTCTGGCGCCTGCTTGGGTAGCGCTCAGAGGCACCTCTGTTGGGACCCAGCCCCCATGTTCACACCGAAATCCTTTTTCTCAGCACCTCTGGACTTTCTTTGGTCTCAGGTCACTGCCTTCATCTCTCCCCTCGATACCTGATCGGGCAGGGAGCCGTCGTCCCCGAGTGAAGTGCAGGGACGGCATCCGGCTTGTATGGATGAGGGAGCCGTGCTTTTCTTAGACACAGGAGACTGGCAGTCAGAAGGATTTGCTCATTTTTGGTCTCCAGGCTTCCAGCGCATTCATATTCATGGCGCAAGGTCCTCCTTCCATCTGCCTTATCAGGAAAATGTGCGCCTTCTCCCAGGCTGTCTAACCATCCCCGAGGTCTCTGACATCCCTGTCCCCTGGCAGCGGGCAGGCGGAGGCGCTGCCTCAGAGCAGAATCTCCCTGGATCATTACAGGAGGGCCTTTTCCTGGTACGTCTTCCAGATGGGGGAGCCCCGTGAGCAGGCGTGGGGGCCCCTTGAGGGCAGGGCGCCTGTTTGCTTGGCTTCCGGAGCAGGTACACGCTGGGGGAGAAAGGGACAATTCAGGGACAGAGATTGGGCCCTATCGGGCTCTGAGGTCTCTAAGTCAAGTGTTTTAATGTCTCTTTTATGTAAAAAGTACTCATGGAAAATCCATTCAGGTAATATCTAAGCATCCATGATCTCAGAAATCAGGGACCAATCAGAAAACATGTAAACAGCCCGGTGGGGTTCAGAAGTTCCTCGGAGTCCTTGCTCTGTCACCGCACTGAGCACAAGAAGACAGGGTTTCCCACGAGGGCGTGGCCCGGCGCTTGGAGCGGTCGGGTTCTAGTTTCTCCTCCCTTCCCGTCCCTGTCCCTGTCCCTGTTCCTTCCCGTCCCACCAACGTACCTTCGGGGCTAGAACCTGGTAGTTGTCTTGTTTGACGTCGGGGGCCTGGGGCACTTTGCAGTGTGAGGAGCTCCCCGTCAGCGAGGTGTCCTGGCCTGTTGTTCAGAGAAGCCATCCCGTAGTTGCAGGCCATGGGCACCTTTTGTTGAGCTCGTTCTAGAAGCAAGGGTAGCGGGACGCACACGCGGGGCGGCGGGGCTAGCACACCGTGGCTCCCTCCGCCCCATGTCTGCGGCTGTACAGCTGGCAGTGAGGACCTCGCCTCCCCTCCCGAGGGACCGGGCAGCAGGCTGGCTTCCAGATGGTTCTATAGGGACTCGGCGACGGCTTTGTGGAACCCCGGGTCAGGTGTGGGGCTAGCAGAGAAGCAGGCCATTGTGGGTGTCGTGGAACAAAGTCTGAGAAGGGAAGGAGCCTTAGGCAGCCGTGGGAAGTGGCAGAGAGGCTCGTGGGGCAGGGCTGCCGGGGAGAAACGCTGCGGAACCAGAGGGAAGGGGGAGGGCAGGCTGGGACATGCCTCTGCAGACCCGCACATGCCTGGCCAGGCCTCCGACGATGAGGGACAGGGCCCGCATGAGCTGCAGGGGCCTCGGGCCCAGCAGAGGGCCAGCCGCTGCCTTCTGGACCGGTCACGGATCTCTCCTGGGGCCAGAGCCAGCCAAGAAGGGCTTTGGGCCGACGGCATTCCAGCCTTGCTCTGTTGGTACAGTGCAAAGCCACCGTTTCTCTGGAGTCCTTTGGGCACCCAGCGCACCGCTCTGAACCACACTGGATTTCCGGGTAGGGACAGAGCAAGGTCAGTGCACGTTAACAGGACCCAACTATCGCCTCATCACAGAAAGCCCCCTGCCCCCCCCCCCCCCCGGAGGCAGGGTCCCTTTTTCTCCCCGCAGGGTCTTACTTTCCCCTTTGGGAGCCTGTAACCTGAAGGTTGAGGTCCCCGAGCACCTGCCACCGCAGTTTCTGCTGCTAGATGGCAGGGGAGGGGGGAGGGGAGAGAAGTGCTTAACACACACAGGTCTCAGAGTCAGGGTGAGAAAGGTCATGCATAACTAGCCCCATCCTCATTTCTACATCCGGTCAATGGTCATACTCGGTTTTATAACTTCTTTCCTGTTCCTGTCGGCTTCGGCAAGCACCTTGGTCGATCACCCAGTAAGATGACTCCCCTTTCCTTCCCTAAGCGTCTGGGCTGCACTGAACAGTTCACTTACGGGGTGCGGGAGTGCTGAGGGCCACCCCAGGGACCTGTCCTCCCCCCCACACTGGTGTGGCCGTGACCAGTTACCCCGGCCGCTGGAGTAACCCCCGCTCTGTTGTCTGTACTTCTGGGTTAATGAAGCAATTGCTGTGCCCTTTGGAGGGAGCATTCTGCCCTTAGAAACTAGGACCTGTGGGCCAGCAGAGCCAACACTGCAGGGAAGGGAGGCCAGGGCACAGCGCACACGGCTAGAAAGTGTTCTGGAAGGCGCCTCCAGGGGTGGCCAGTCAAGCTGGTCCCGGGACTGGAGATTCAGAAGGCATCCCGCGGGCCTGTTGGGTCACCTGCTTCAGGTGATGGGGACATGGCATCACCAGTGACTCTCACGAGCACGACCCGTAGCCCGAACTGCATCTGCGGTCACACGAGTTCTCTGGGCAGAAGCCACGCTGCGGGGTCCGTGCTGGGACCTGGGTGTCTGTAAGACCGCGGGCGGGGCTTGCGGCAGGAGCGCTGTGGGGGGAGAGCAGATGTTCTTCCACGATCCCTTCCGCTGAGAATGCACCGCTGCCCCTCCCGTGGAGGACGTGGTGCAGTTACAGGCGCCTGGCGGAGGCCGCAGGGCCCTCATGAGAGCCAGGAGTCAGACTGATCCTGCAAGTCTGTCCCCGTACCACGGTCACTCGTACGTTCCCGTCTGTGTGTGGGGTGCCCCCTGGTGCTGACCCTTGTCCCCACCACACAGGCCGGGAATGCGGGAAGCCGGCCCCAGCCTGGCCGAGCGGCAGCAGTTGCCGCGATCTTGTAGGGGTTTGGGGTTCAGATCTACATTTCATATCATTGTCAATCCCTGGTCACCCTCCCCCTGTCCTCCCACTCCCCAAGGGCAGTTGGTTGAAATGTTAGCTCTGATTTCGCGGGCTCTGGGTGTATGTCTACGGTACACGTTTTAGCGTTTGTGGTTGAAAGTAATCGCCCATCGGAGTGTTCTTTAGTTCGGTCAGACCCACCGCGGGCCTAGCGTCTGGCGCGGGGAGCGTTTCCTAACCAGCAGCATTAGGCACACACAGGCCCCCGGGTCTCTGGCGGGCCCTCTGGTCCACCTCCTCACTCTACAAGAAGTGTAGACATGTACATGGGACGCCAGGACACCAGGGGCTGGTGGCCTCTAATCCGCACCCCCTCCGACTTTGCCCGGATGAAACCCCCCATCCATGTCCGATAACAGCCGTGCTGCTCCCATCCAGGTCTGAAGGCCGGCGGTCATTCTTTCCCCCTCCTCCCCGGTCCTGGGTCCTCCTTAACTTCTCACAAAGCCCTCATTGCTTCCTAATGTAGCCCAACCCTGGCCCCCAGGCAGTGAGCTCCCTGACGTTCCTGCTGGAGCCGCCGGGAGGTGCAGGGAGTGCGGAGGTAACGGACATTCTGCTCGCGCTGGGGAGGTTCGCAGAGATGGACTTTCCTTCGGGCTCAGACTGGGATCAGTACCCCCGACGGCTCTGTGCTTCCTTCTAAGTTGGCTGACGTTCTTCTAAAAAGGAATGTGCTGGTTCTCTCTCAGAAGGGGTGGGGGGGCAGTGAACCTGCTGCCTTTCTCAGAGGGGACCTCGGCCCTCCCCAGGACAGAGAGGGCGACGAGGGGCCCTGTTGGCCATCTTCCTCGGGGCGGGGGGGGTGTCGCTCCAGGATCCCCGTGGATGCCTGAAGCTGCAGACAGTACCTGACCCTGTAGATGCTGTTTCTTCCTATACACGTACTTGTGATAAAGTTTAATTGATAAGTTAGGTAGCAGATGAACAACAGTGATGAAAGTTGAATGAATGTGGTCTCTCTCTCTCTCTCTCAACATCTTACTGTCTTGCACTCACCCTTCTTGCGATGCTCTGAGATGATAACATGCTCACGGGCATAGACGAAGGAGGTGAGTCACGGGTGAGACGAAGGAAGTGGGTGCAGGATGCAGCGCTAGGCTGCTGCTGACCTGACCACGCGTCAGGAGGAGCATCATCTGCTTCCGGATCACACTGACTGTGGGTCAGGAGGGACCCCTGTACTGAGGTGCACCCATCTTGAGGGCCCGGGCCGAGAGGCCCTTTGTGGATGTGAAGGAGGCCTGGTTTTTTGCGGCTGGCCCCGTGGAGGTAGAGCTGGCCTTGAACACCGTGGGGATGGGGCACTGACTTTTTTTTTAAATGTTTTTATTTCTGAGAGATAGATTGAGAGAGAGAGACAATGTGAGCAGGGGAGGGTCAGAGTGAGAGGGAGATACAGAATCGGAAGCAGGCTCCAGGCTCTGAGCTGTCAGCACAGAGCCTGACGTGGGGCTCGAACCCACGGACTGTGAGATCATGACCTGAGCCGAAGTCAGACGCCTAACCGACTGAACCACCCAGGCGCGGGGCACTGACTTTTGACTCTGCAGAATCTTAGCTACTCTGGCCTACCGTTGGAGGCCTCGCCGATAGTTAACACAAATAATCACATTGCGTATGTCACGTGTGTCACAGAACTGTATTCTCACAATAACATAAACCAGAGAAACAAACATATCATTAAGAAAATCATAAGGAAGAGAAAATATGTTTACAGGACCGTCCTGTGTTTATTGAAAAAATCCGCTTCTGAATGTCCTGGTGCAGTGCAAACAGTGTTCAAGGGTGAACTGTACAAATACGGAGAGTAACGCCTGGCACATAGTAAGCCCTCAGTAAGTGCTTGCTGCGTGAATGAAATCAAAGGTCTCTCCTGCTTGTACGTATTCATTAATGCTGTTGCTCATTTGTTCATTAAATGTTTCCTGGATTCACTGTTCTAGGAAACGAGCTAAGCAGGGAGGGACTCGTGGGCCGTCAGACTGTCGTGAGCATGACCTTTCTGTGCATCGTCCATCCGAGGAGGGCGCCTCTGTGTGCACTGGGTCTCTCTCTCCAAGTCTGGCCACCCGCCCCCTACCTTCAGTGTCTCGCCCCGCCACTCCCTGCCACGTGGGCTATGCCCTAGCCGTGCTAAACTTTTTAAAACCCTCTCATTGTAAAACATTGTATGTTTACCAAAAAGTACTCAAAATACGCATATGGACTTACAGATTTTTAATGCAGAATATCTGCGTAAGCACCGCCAGGTCACAAGTAGGACACGTCAGCCCTGGGAGCCCCCCATGTACCCCTTCCTCATCCCAGCCCCCTCCCTGCAAATGGAACCCCTAACTTGGCCTCTGTGGCTAGCATGTAGGTGCTCCTGGAAAATGAAGAGATCCACTCTGATTTTTTTCAGTGCTGTCGCTCACTGCGTTCCTTCTAGACTCTTCTGTGTGGTTGGCAATGACTCGTAAAGTACCTTTATTGTTCCTGCCCCACGTGTGCTGACCCCACGGCCTGTCCCCCACGGCCTGCCCCGCTCAGCCTGGCGCGCGTCAGTTCCTCCCGCACAGGCTGGATGGCTTCTCCGGCAGTGGAAACGTCCCCTGTCTGGGCTCTCCGGCGCCACCTCCGCTTCGCCACACATGAGAGCTGGGCGCTGGAGAGGGGGTTGGTGCCCCCGAGGACCTGACAGCTAATTCTGTGTAACTTGACGTAGAAGTGAATTTAAGTAGCTGCTGTGGCCACCATGTTCAACAGGGTGGCGCGTGGACATGCACCCGGGGAGGGAGCCCGACCACGGGGCAGAGGGTGTCAGCGCACCGGCTGGAGTGGACGGTTCTCCCTCATTCTCCTTCCGCGCCAGTCCAGGCCTGGAGTGCCCCTGTGCCCGGTCCCCTGGGCACGTCCTCACGGGCACTGACGCAGCTGTGTCCAGGCCGCCGCCCCTGCCCCCGACCGCACCCCCTGGGCCCTTGCTGGACACCCTTCCCTCACTGCTTTGTCCCAATCGAACCCCCAGCCAGCCAGCCTGTCCCCGCCCGTAGTCCGATTCTCTGTGATGACCTTAAAATGCAGGCATGCCCACGGAGTACAGGTCGTAATCCGGTCCCAGCGAGTGAAAGGGTGAATTCCGTTGTGTATGTAGTCGCTGTCGCGCCGTCTGCTGACCCGCTCAGCCGGCCGCTTCGGCCCTAGTGTGTCGTCCTGAGTCCCGCGTCGTGTAGGTATCCCTCCGTCTCTCAGACGCGCCCTGAGAAGTGAAGGTGCCCCAGATGTGCTGGGGCTGCAGGAGCGCAGGACGGAGCCGACGCTGTCCCGCAGGGCGGGAGCTAGTGACACGGACGGCCCCTAGCGCTTGTTAGACCGCGCCAGCTGCCCGTCCGAGGGCTTCGCAGGCATAACAGTTCCTCCCGCGGGCCCCCTCCTGCAGACCGTGGTTCCTTACCCCGGGCCAGGTGCCTTGTCCTTGTCCGGGGGGGGGGGAGGGGGCGGTCCCACCCTGCAGGGTGGTGTCCCTCCCCCCCGGGGGGCTCACTGCCTGATGCCGCGCCCGACAAAACGCAGGGCAACACCGTACAGGCTGAGCGGGGGTGTGGAAGCAGACACGGGGGGCGTTCCGCCCAGCGCCTCAGCCCCAGCCGCCAGGGCAAGCCCCGGACGCTGTCTCCTCACCGCGCCGGCGGCGGGAAGTCCAAGTGCAGGCTGCCCGCCGGTCGGGTCGTGGCGAGGGCCTCATGCTGGCTCCCAGACGGCCGCCTTCTCCGCCTGTCCTCATGGTGGACAGAGACCCAGGCCCCCGTCTGCCTCTCCCTGTAGAGACATCGGTCCTACCAAGCTAGGACCCCACTCACAGAACTTCGCTCAGCTATAATTACCTTCTAGAAGCCCTGTCTCCAAACACAGCCTCACCGGGGCGAGAGCTTCAGCATGTGAGTTAGGGAGGACCAGCTTTGGTGATTCAAGGAGGATGTAGTGGAGGGGGTGCCGGTAAATTAAATCATGAAAGGCGAGAATGTTGATTCAGGCAGAAGCAGGACGTGGAGTGGGATGCGCAGGAAGTGAGGCCGCAGAGCTCTGGTCGTGAGGCAGAACATGCTGCGTTCGGGAAGCCGGACACGATCAGATGTTAGGCGTTACCACCTTGCGGAGCGAGAGGGCGTGCGGGTCCCTCGAGGCCCGAGGAGGACTCGAGGGGAGTGGTGGCCTCGGCTTGGATCTGGAAGGTTAGTGAGGGCGTGGGTGTGGCGACGCACAGACGCCGTCGGCCTCGGAGCACCTTGGCTTAGCGGTGCGGTAGGGGAGAGCGCCTCCGCGGCTCGTGGGACACACTGCTGAATGGGGTCCCGCTCGCCCGTCAGCGTGTGGCCAGGGCCTGTCGCCGTGGGGTCTGCAGGCGGCCCGTTCCTCGCCGGACAGTCTAGGGCTGCTTCCCGCGGGTAGAGACTTCTAAGGCACTTGAGTTAGTGTCCGCTGGCTGTCTTGTTGATTTGTTCCCTGTTTTTACTGATCACCTTTCCGCAGCCACAGAACCCGGGCCCCTCCGCATTTACTGGTTCAATAGACGTGCTCCTGAGCCCAGAGGCAGCTTCTAGACAATAATAAGCCTTTTGTAGGCAGGCCCTTTACTTTCCTTCTTTCCTCACTTTGGCAGATTACGACTCGGACGCCATGAGTAGCTCCTACGAGTCGTACGACGAAGAGGAGGAAGACGGGAAGGGCAAGAAGACGCGGCACCAGTGGCCGTCCGAGGAGGCCTCCATGGACCTGGTGAAGGACGCCCGGATCTGTGCCTTCCTGCTGAGGAAGAAGCGCTTCGGGCAGTGGAGCAAGCTGCTGTGTGTCGTCAAGGACACCAAACTGCTGGTAACGCGTCGCGGGCGGCTCGTGCAGGCCGGTGGGATTTGGTGGCCGTCAGCTCAACGGGACTGACGCCGGGCAGCGCTGATGGCAGCTGCAGGGAAGCGGCCGCCGTGGGGCGGGTGCGCGTGCAGGAGTCGGGCGCTGGGCAGCAGGCGCGGGCCAGAGTCCCCGAGCCTGGAATGGCTTTGCTTCTGCGTCCTGCAGCCGCCAGCGGGCAGTCACTCCGCCCCGGGCCAGTGTCCACGGCGTGTCGCCTGAAACACACAGGCTTTAACTTGCCGGACGGCCAAGATGGGCTTTCTCGTTGGTAATGAGTCAGTGAATTCCCCAGAGCCAGGTCATCGAGCGGGGCGGGCGGGCCACCACGCCCCGTGGGGAGAGTGCCCAGGAAAGGAAATCCTTCTGGAAGGCTAAAGGCAGATGCTTTTTCGTTGTTGTTGTTTAATCTGAGGGGCTGAAGAGGAAGACAGGCTGGGAAACAGGGAAGCCGGGGACAGGGACACGTGGGCCTCCCGCTGCAGCGTCCTTCCCACAGGGACCCCGCGGACGGAGCCAGAGCCCCGGAGAGCATGGGACACCCCTCCCTCCTCCGCCTGTCCCCCCAGCTGTGTGGACAGCGGGGCTGCTTATCGGATTTGTGAATTTTAGAGTGTGTTTTTGCATTTGGCTTTTCCTTCTACTTAACCTTGGGGGAAAAGGTCACCCAGAATTCTCGTATTAAAACAGAACACAGGAAAATTTATGATTGTGCGTGTCACTCTTCAATGGAGGGGGCACCCCTGTTCTTTATGGTTTCATCTGTGAATGCTGGGAAGGCTTTTTCACTAGATTCTGAAGGCGTTGTGTATTTTTAAATCAACGGTTAAATTTTTTTTTTAAACAGCGAGAATACATATTTTTTCCACATGTGTGGCCTGACTTTTCTCCCAAATGTAGAATATGCCAAAAGTGATGCCATGGGGGGGATTTTGAAGTAAAGAATGAAGAAAAAAAACCAGATTAAAAAAATTACTATGCTCCTTATTTACAATCTGACGTACCGGCTGCAAGATGTGGATGTGTTACAGACATGCTTCAACGACGTGCGGTGGGCTCGTGGGTGAGAGGGGTTCGACCCGGGAGCGGGAGGCAGGTGGCTGTGAGGCGGGCTCAGCAGTCAGGGAGCACGGACCTCGGGGAGTCCAACCCCGAGGACTCCGGCCTGCACGTTAACATAGGGCTGGTGACGCATCTATTTCGAGACAGTTCAGTCAAGGAAAAATACAGGCAGTCACACTTCCTGTCGAGCCCCGTCCACTGTACCGTTGATTTCCTTTCCTCTGTTCTTCATTTTCTTTCTTGTGCTGCCTGAGAAAACGAGAAACTGCCGAACAGTGAATATTCATAGCAACCGGGCTTCACTGGTTTTGGTGTATTTGTTTTCCTTCCTTTCCTGACGAGGGTGACCATCAGTGGGAGTTTTGTAGGAGGTGGGTATGTTCCATACCTATGGCACTCAAGAGCCAAGGTTCTAGAACTGCAAAGGAGGAGGGGACTCCGGAAGCCAGTTCTGAAAATAGGTGTCCGTTCCTCCAGTCCCTCCAGAGCAGACGGTGTGCGGTGGAGAAACACGGCTTCCACACTCATGCCGTTTGGGGCTATGGCCTGCCGCGTTGCGGGGGTCTGACATTATTGGCAAGCTACATAGCCAGGGGAGGCTCAGTTTCCCAGTCTGCAAAATGGACAGCTGTGGCCAGCAAATGAGATTCTGGAATGCCTCATGTGATGCTGACTTGGTGGGCAGGTGTTACAGTTACTAATGATTTAGTAACTCAATAAAATAATGATAATTGCAGCGATAGTTCGTTTTACAAACGAAACAGGCTCAGAGAGCTTGAGAGACTTCCCGGGAGCCAGATTTAATTAGTGACAGAGCAGGACTCAGTGCCTGAACCCCCGGACCATCTATTTCCATGAGGATGTGTACATTGGGTCCCAAGTAATGCAATTAGACCCAAGGCGGGAGGGGAAACGTTTGGACAAGATTTTTTTGGAAAAAGAAATTTTTTTTAATGTTTATTATTGAGAGACAGAGAAAGAGACAGAGCAGGAGTGGGGAAGGGGCAGAGAGAGGGAGAGGGAGACACAGAATCTGAAGCAGGCTCCAGGCTCTGAGCTGTCAGCGCAGAGCCCGACGCGGGGCTTGAACCCACGAACTGTGAGATCATGACCTGAGCCGAAGTCGGATGCTTAACCGACTGAGCCCCTAGGCACCCCAGACAAGGTTTGATTCTAGGTTTTAACAGATCCAGATTTAACACCAGTGATGGGAACTAAGTCTGTGTGTTCCCCACGGCCCTGAAATCTTTAGAGTGGACGCCTGCTGTGTAGATGGAGCCGCGTGAATTTTGGATCCTGTACTCAGCCAGGAAGCAAACCTTCACAGACATGTTGTGTAGGGCACGTTGATGCATGTGCCCTTAAAGAAGTCATTCACCTGTCTTTCAGAAAGGGGATAGGAGGAGACAGGCAGATACCCAGTGAGGTAGGTGGTAGAATAAGGTGTCCAGATTACCGTGGGTCCCCGTCAGGGCTGTGCCTTTCGGCAAACCTAGAATAAGACGTTCCTGTCCCTTAAGGAGAACGCTCCACTGGTCCGGGCTGCCCATCAGAGGAGGGAGTTTCTGTTTCCCACTGAGTTGTGCCATTGACACTTGGTAAACTTTGCTGAACTACCGAGCGGATGCGTGTTCCTGTACGTGGGGGTGCCGTGCCACGTGCAGTGGGCCCCGCGTGGCTGATGCGTGTGCGTCTGCAGAGCCAGCCCCCCGAGCCTCGGCGCCGCCCGCGTGTCGTCCGCACTTCCGCGCGCCCTGCCCCCTCTAACCGCGCTCTCTCATGTTGAACACAGTGCTATAAGAGCTCCAAGGACCAGCAGCCTCAGATGGAGCTGGCGCTCCCGGGCTGCAGCGTCACGTACGTCCCGAAGGACAGCAAGAAGAAGAAGCACGAGCTGAAGATCACCCAGCAGGGCGCCGACCCACTGGTGCTCGCGGTGCAGAGCAGGGAGCAGGCCGAGCAGTGGCTGAAGGTGAGGCACGCCCGTTCCCAGGCCGGTGTTGGAGTCCTGTTCTTTAAGATGGGTTTAGTTAGAGAGAGAGTGTGTGAGTGCTAGCGAGGGGTGGGGGTGGGGGCAGAGAGAGAGAGTGCGTGAGTGCTAGCGGGGGGCGGGGGTGGGGGCAGAGAGAGAGAGAATCCCAGGCAGGCACAGAGCCCGACGCGGGGCTCGATCTCACCAACCGTGAGAGCGTGACCTGAGCCGAAGTCAGATGCCTAACTGACGGGGCCACGCCGGTGCCCCCACCTGATTTTGTTTTTTAACGGGTCTGGATGTGGACTCTTTTCTATTTATTCTACTTGGAGTTCCCTGGGCTTCTAACTCTGTGGATTGCGATCTTTCTAAGTTTTGGAAAAGCATTTTCATCCATGTCTCTTAAAAGTGTAACTTTGTCCCATTCTCTTCTCCCCTCCAGCTCTGTTTAAATACACATCAGGTGTTGGGGCGCCTGGGTGGCTTAGTCGGTTAAGCGCCCGACTTTCGCTTAGGTCATGATCTCGCGGTTTGTGGGTTCGAGCCCCGCATCGGGCTCTGTGCTCACTGCCAGCTCAGAGCCTGGAGCCTGTTTCACAGTCTGTGACTCCCTCTCTCTCTGACCCTCCCCTGCTCACGCTGTCTCTCTCTCTCTCCTAGAAATAAAAAAAAAAAAAAAAAAATTAAAAAAAAAATAAAATAAATACACATCAGGTGTTTTAACTGTATTCTGCTATCTTCTCTCTGTATCTTACTACTGTCCCCTCCCCCCACTTCAGTGGTCAATGTTTCTTGTCGCTTTCCAGCTCACTGTTTCTCTGTTTAGCTGTGTCAGAGCTGCTGTTAAATGTGTCCCCGTTTACTGGGTTCTGAGTGTTGGTTATAGAATCTAGAATTTCTAGTTGTTTCTTTTATCGCTCTGGAAATACCACTTTCTGCAGTTCTAAACTTCCCGTGGAAATGTTCGTCATTTATTTCCGTCACAAGCAGGTAACGGGCCTGGTTAGACGGGTTTGGGTGGCGGGCGGGCCAGGCTCTACCGTCGGGACACTTGCTTGTTCGTGTCGTTTGGGCTCTGCCTGCGCGCCGGGGCATCCGATGATGTGGGGAAAACAATTAATTCGATAATTTTTTATAACAGCCTTACTGAAGCATAATTCACACGTGGTGCAGTTCACCCTTTCAGAGCACGGCGCAGCGGCCGTTAGTCTATTCGCCAGGATCTAATTTCTGGACGTTTTCATCTCCCCCAAGAGAAGCACTCTTCTCCCAGCATGAGCAGCCCTGGCCCCGCCCCCAGCCTCAGCCCCGGCCCCTGGCCGCCCCTGCTTTGTTTTCTGTCTGCAGAGATTTGCCCGCGTTCATCCTTTCATGTAAACATGCTCGTATGGCCCGCATCCTTCCGTGACTGGCTGCTTTTGCGTCACGTCACCAGGGTTCATCTGTGTCATCAGATGCAGCTCCCCCGCGACTTCCCAGTGCTCTTGTAGCGCATCTGGGAACCTGGGGCTCGTTCCGAGGTGCTAGAGGTGCACCAATGTCGTCTTCTGATGGCTTTAGCGTGTCAGGCCTTAAACTTCGCCTGGGATCCACTTTGATTTACTCTTCCATGTCGTACTGAGCCGGGGGACCGAGTTCATGCTCTTGTATGCTGGTATCCAGCCGGCCCCCCAGAAATAATTTACCTGGTGCCAGCACGCTTTCCTGCGTCAGCGAGCATCTTCCTTTGCCTCCGCCACGAGCCGCGAGGGCATCAGCTCCCCGAAATCAGTTTAGTCTACTTCCAGGGCTTGAGCTTTTCGGACCTCCCCCGCTCCAAAAGTCAGCCTGCAATCCATGCAAGAGTGCACGTTTCTGTTCATTTCACACTTATTCCGAGACATATTCCCCAACCTAATTGTGGGCGTTTGCCTGGGCCCTCGTTCTTCGCCGTGGACTCCAGCTTCTGAGCCCTGGGCCCCCAGGGCCACGGAGCTGCTGCCGGGTCTCTCGGCTGCCTCCCCTGAGGCGGCAAAGGCAGTCCCCGCTGCCAGCCTGCCTGTCCGGGTTTGCATCTTCCTGTGGATGACGGCCCTGTCCTTCCCGGCGGTGATAATCACTCTCTCGTGCTCTGGGCAGAAGCTGTGTCTGTTTTCTCTTGCCTTCCTGCTGTTCCCCCTCAGGAAGGTGAGTGTGTCCCTCGCTGCCTGCCGGTACCTGCTGTGGACAAAGGGGTGGGGGGTGGGACGCCCTGATGATGTGCCCTCCAACAGTGGCTCTTACAACGTGCACGCGTCCGTTCCACCTTGAGCCTCGCTGCCCCCCTCCCCCCAGGAGAGCACACAGGTGACACTGTGACGGCGCTGACAGCGAGCACCTCTGTCCGCCAGCCCAGACACACAGTGGCTTCTCTCGTGTCTGCACCAGGAGAGACTAAACAGAGCGTTTGAGTGTTTGAGGGGAGCCCCGCGGTCAGGAACTTCTGCTCTGCCTCCCACGTGGAACTTTAATGAGGTGCGCACCAGCATCACCGCCAGCAACGGCTTTAAAGCCCTTCTGAGTTCCGGTGTTCCGGCAGCCCTTTTGCTACAGGAGAGAGGCCGAGCCTCGGGTGCCGGGGGGTGGGGGGGGGCAGGGCCTGCGAATGTTAGAGCATCCCCTTCACTTGCCACCTTCCTCGTACCAGGCACCTGGCAATTTGCCGTTTCCCCTCATTCCTCCTTGCGTGGTCCCGACACCTTCCCTTCAGGAAGGACGGGAAGAAGGACGAGGAAAGCCAGGAGCCTCCTTTGTGGTTCTGTTTTCTTGACCTGGTCGCGCTCTGGGTGAGCTGGCTCCATCCCGCACCCCGGGACTCACCTGTTGCTAGTGGAGAGCCCGAAGGGCCCCCCGGACCCTGGGCTTTCCCCTTCCTGCCCGTGCTTCGGGTCCGTCATGTCTTCCCTGCACGCTGAATAGCTGCCTTCGTAATGGCTCGAGAATGTCGCAGGCTTCTCCCGTCTCACTGGGCAGTGCATTGAGCTGACAGTGCGGCTCGCAGGTGGGCCGTGAGACAGAAAACCGTTCAAGATGTCAGACGCCGGAGGGGTGACATAGTCTGACGCCCTGTCCCAGCAGATGCGAGGTGCCGATTGGAGGCACCCAGCTGTGTACACGATGACTCTGCTTAGAGCACTTGCTGATAGTCCTTAAAAGGGAAATAAATAATAGCTGGTAAGTTACCTTCATCTGAAGAGTCTACGTTGATTAATTTCTCCGTTTGATGCCTGTGCTTTACTTCCTGCCACGGACGACCGTGTGGGCCGCTGTTGAATAGAAATGACTCAGACAAAACTCGTTTGAGTCGGTAAGAGAATTTGCTTTCTTCAAAGCCAGCAGATGCCTGAAGGGGTCAGTGTAGTGTTTTCTCTATCCTATTATTAGATTGGCTGTCTCGTCAGTACACCTAAAAATTTAAAAATCATAGATTCCCAGTGACTCGGATTCATGAGGGTCCTAAGAATCTTTTCCTTTTTCCTTTGTATCTTCTTTCTCAAGATCTCAGCTGCTGCAGATAGCATTGGAACAAGCCTCCCCCTTAATTCTTTCTCCTTCCTCAAAGGTAACTTTTATCCTGAGTGTTACCTAGATATGCTTTGCAAATACTTTCTTCCTTACGTACGTCCTTACAAATGACGAGCGATTTTTATTTCTTTTGTTTGAAAACGTCCGCGTACATGGCTTCAGACTGCACGTGCCCTGCCCCTCGCATTTCCCACTCCCTGTGTCATGTCTGCTGTGGGGTCGGCGGCCGTGGGGTCTGTCCACCCATCACCGCCCCGGAGCGCGCGTCCGTGAGCATTCTCGTGCGCTCCTTGGTCTCGCGCCGCATGGCTTCCCTGGCATGGGTGTCCATGCGGGCATGGCTGGCTTCCATATGCGCACACTTCCCACCTTACCGGAGCTCGACACGCGGTTTCCTATGATTGCTTGTGCAATTCCGCATCTGCCAGCCACGTATGGGATCCATGGCCTTCCAGAGTTTCTTTACGAGTATATGCGGGCAGGCGCAGATGCACATTTTAAGGCCCATCCCCCTGGACAAGATGTGGCGTTCCGCCTCTTCCCGGGACACCTGCACAGAGGTCTCTTCCGGGTTAGGGGACAGAGCCTGTCCGCGCGCTCTTTCACAGTACGTACCGTGTCACCGTGTAAACAGGCCGTCGTTTAAAATAATACTGTCCCGTTCATGGATATTGGGTTGTTTTCAGTCTTTTCATGGGACATTCTGTAGTAATTAGCCCTGTGTGTGTGTGTCACCTCACACTCGCGCCGGTCTGCGGGCTGACCTCCCAGGGACGCTAACGCCTGCACGAAAGTTGTGGGGACTTGTAACTTTGATACACAGCCACGTCGCCCTCCACAGGGGGTTTGCAGCTCAGTCTCCCACCCGCCTCGCCCACCACATGTCCGCGAGCGTCGGGGATGCGCCCCCGTGACGGGGAAGGGTGACGTCTCTGGCTAGTTTAATCTGTGTTTCGCTTCTTATACGAAGCACCCTTTGGAGGGTTTGAGAGCCTGTAGTTGTACTAATGTTTCCGTGAACTGTGTGTCCTTTTTGTAAGTGTCCTTTGCTTAGAAATCTTTTTCAAAGGGCACCTGTGTGGCTCAGTTGGTTAAGCGTCCGACTTCAGCTCAGGTCATGATCTCACAGTTCGTGGGTTCGAGCCCCACTCATGCTCTGTGCTGACAGCTCAGAGCCCAGAGCTGCTTCCGATTCTGTGTCTCCCTTCCTCTCTGCCCCTCCCCCACTTGTGCTCTGTCTCTCTCAAAAATAAACACCCGATTAAAAAAAAAAAAGACATCTCTCTTTAAGGGGCCTCCCAGATGACAGAGGCAGAGCCAGGTTTGGTCGCTGCCCTGGGGCAGCCTGCTCCTTTCCCTGTCGAAAGGCTCCTGCAAGAGGCAGGGTGTGAGTACCTGATCCGACGGATGTGCGGTCAGACGGGCAGTTAACGTGAATGGCATTCCAAAGCCGTTTT